GATTTTTTTTTATTATGGAAGTAGAGAACTGGAAAAAAAAAAGGAGGGGATTAGTGGTGGGGGTGGGTCGCAACACTGGTGCCGGGGATTGGGGGAAACCAGCGCAACTTTGGGGCAGGGTAGGGAGAGGTAGGCGCTGCCAGCCGTTGATAGGTGGTGGTGGTGGTTAGGGTGGTCCGATAGGAAGGATAAGGGGTTTTCTCTTCTTTTTTTTTGATTTTTTTTTTATTGATTACAGCTTGACACGGGGCATATAACTTGTTATAACAAATCATTGATTTTCATTGATCGATTTAGAATTGAAGAAAGTAAACAGCTCAAAGTTAGAATTATTCCAAAATAATCCAAAATTGAGATTATTAAAAAAAAATAAAGCAAAGTTGAGAATATTAATATCAGTTTTTCCTATTAAAAAAAAGGGGGGGGGGGGGAATGCTATTAGCAATTGTTGTATTGACCTTTAGGGTAAAAAACTAAAAACATCTTATGATAGACTAAGGTCAAACTTATAAAAAGGATTGGAAAATGCTAACGATTTTGTGAACAAAAAATCCAAAAAGTGTTCTTAAAGCAAGATAAAAAAATTTAATAATAATAATAATAGTGGAAAGAAACTAAAAGTTGAAAGAATAGACAATAAATAAACATTTATTACACCAATTTACTCGTAAATTGTCGATAAATTTCCAACTTAATACTATAAAAAGGAAAGGATATTAAATGCTTATATACAGCCTAAGGGTTGCATATAACATTACCCTAAGAGCATCAACACTCGTGGTATGATTTTATACCACGGTGTAAATATTCATCCAAAATATGATAATTTTTACTACAATGGTGGTGTAAAAGTATACCATGGAATGGTTTATACCATTCCATGGTAAACATTTGCTATGGTCCCCGTGTAACATAAACCAACCAGGTCACGCCATGTGTCTTAGTTATCATGTATCTTTTATAATTTTTTTTTTTTCAATTGCATTTACAAAAAAAATTATAAAGTAAATAATTATGAAAAAAATTATAAAGTCAATAATTATGAAAAAATTACCATTGTTCATAATTTTTCAACACCTACACATCGACACCCATGTTGATATAGTTTTATATATTTTATAGAATTCGCTTTTTACTACCTAAATTACTTATTTTATTTAATTAACATTACAAACATTAATTAGTTATTTCCAATAATAAAATAAAATATCATTATAATTAAATTAATTGTATAATTAATACATATAGGAGAAAGAAAGTGTGGTGGTAAACTTTTTTATACCATGGGTGGGGTGATTTTAGGAGAAGTACAGTATATTGTGGATTTGTGGTATAAATAATGTGGAGGAGTGAGAAAATAATAAAGAGAGAAGGATGATATAAATTTTTATAACATGAATGATGATGGTATAATGGTGACCAAGACCATTGCGTTTATGAACAAGGTTGCTATGCTGGATGATCCTCAGTGTGAGCTGTTGTTACTTAGGGCATGTATTGGAGTTTCTAAACTCTACTTTTCCTTGCGTACTTGTCCTCCAGGTGCATTTGAGGCGGCTCAACGCATTTTCGACGAGGCTCTTCGATCTTCCTTAGAGCGTATTGTTACTGCTTCGGGGCCCGGGTTTGGTGATTGGCAGTGGCGGCTTGCCACCTTACCATTTGCGTTTGGAGGGCTTGGTGTTTACTCCGCAGGTGATGTTCGTCACTATGCTTTTCTTGCTTCTCGGTTGTAGTCTGCTGGGTTGCAGACGCAGCTTCTGCGTCGTACTGGTATTGTGGGTCTTGGTCAAGCTTTTGAGGATGCGTTGAGTTTGTTTACTGGAACGGTTGAGTATGACATTTTAGGTAATCCTTATGAGGTCGCTGCCCCTAAACTCATGAAGAAATTGGCAGATATATATTTCACAAAGGTTACCGCTTCGGCAGAATCCACCTTTTCTTTGTCTCCTCTGCAGTCGGCATTATGGAAGTCACAGCAGGGTGATCACACCTCTGCTTGGCTTCGGGCAGTCCCTATTTCTGGATTGGGTCAGACGATGAACACTAAGACATACCGATGTGTGCTGTGTTATCGGATGGGTGTTCCATTGTTCTCTGTCTCGACACCGTGCTCTGCTTGCTCTCTGGTTTTTACTGGGGATGTATTCGGTGACCATGCGGTGTCGTGTGCGGGCATTGTTGGTATTAAACATCGGCACAATGTTGTTCGGGATACATTTGTTGATATTTGCTACAGATCTGGGATTTCAGCAAGAAAGGAAGTTGACATATGATTGTCTGGAGGGAATGACGGGGCCCTCAGACCTGCTGATGTATTACTTTATTCATGGGATCGTGGTCGAGATGTATGTGTCGACTTCACAGGGTCTTCTCCTTTGACACAGACAGGGCTATCTGACTTTGTTCTGGGACGGGTTGTGGCTGATGCGGCTCATCGGAAGCGGGTTAAGTATGAAGCTCGTTGTCTGGCGATTGGATATGGTTTCATTTCCTTCTCCTTTTCTTCGCTTGGGGAATTAGAGAAGGAGGTTGTTGCGTTGCTGAAGCGGATTCAAAGTTTCTCAATGACGCAAGACATTGGGGCTCGTGTTGCAGCTCACATATTCACTAGGGTAGGCTTTGCTATAGCTAGAGGAGTGGGGGCTCAGATTGTATCTCGGCTTCCCACTAATTTATTGTAGGTTGTATGACTTTTGTTTTTGAGATAATAATAATAATAATAATAATAATAATAACAATAACAATAACAATAACAATAACAATAACAATAACAATAACAATAACAATAACAATAAACAATAACAATAACAATAACAATAACAATAACAATAACAATAACAATAACAATAACAATAACAATAACAATAACAATAACAATAACAATAACAATAACAATAAAACAATAACAATAAAAAATAACAATAACAATAACAATAACAATAAAAAACAATAACAATAACAATAACAATAACAATAACAATAACAATAACAATAACAATAACAATAATCCCTCCGTTACGAGTTACTCGCAACAAAGGGAGGAATTGCGGACTCCTAGGCGAAATATCTTAAGTGTGGTTATTGGAAAATAAGGGATGTGCTTAGTATTAATCCAATAAAAAAAAATTTAAAAAAAAACCCTAAACAACAAGCACCACAACCACGAAACCACCACCACCTAGCAAAACCACAACCACGAAAACACCACCAGTCAGCGCGCCACCAACAAAACCCAGCACCACCACCACCTGCGAACCCTTTGCGAAGCCGCCGAACCCACTACAACCCACCACCACCCACCCCGAAACCAACAACCCACGAACCTAGAGCCACAACCCCGAAACCCACCACCACGAACCCAGACCCACAACCGCCGAACCCACTACAACCCACCACCACCCACCCCGAAACCCATAACCCACGAACCCAGACCCACAACCCCGAAACCCACCATCACGAGACCACCCACGAATTCAAACCCAGAAATTCAAACCCACGAAACCACTCACGAAATTCAAACCCAGCACCACCAAAACTTGAAATTCGAAACCAGAAATTCAACCCACCAAACCCTGAAATTCGACCCACCAAGCACCAAATCCAGAAATTCGACCCACCAAATGCACAACGAACTCAGAAAAAGTCAGATCTAGAAAAGGAAGAGAGAGAAAACAAAGGTGTCGATAAGGAAGAAGACGACGGCGGCGATTTTCGGCGTTAGGAACGATCGGTGGTGGTGGTGATTGTTGCAAATGAAGGTGATGGTGGTGGTGGTGGTGATGATGAAAATTTAGATGGGAGGTGATTAAATCAATGTTAGGGTTTAAATTAATAAGATAAAATCAGTATTTTAATTAGGGTGTTTAGGAAAAAAAGTAAGGGTAATGTTGTAATATCACACAAAAAAACTTACCATAAAAGAAAAGAAATAAGTTTGTTGCAAGTAATGTGTACCAGCCATTTTTAGTAATTATTGCGAGTAATTCGTAACGGAGGGAGTAATAATAATAATAATAATGGAGTCTGACATTTTGAGTAATTCTAGTGAGGTCGCTGCCCCTAAACTCATGAAGAAATTGGCAGATATATATTTCACAAAGGTTACCGCTTCTGCAGAATCTGCTTATTCTTTAACTCCTCGACAATCAACATTATGGAAATCACAGCAGGGTGATCACACCTCTACTCGGGCGGTTCCTATTTCAGGGTTGGGTCAGACGATGAACGCCAAGACTTATCGCTGTGTGTTGTCCTATCGGTTGGGTGTTCCATTATTCTCTATCTCGACGTTGGACTCTGCTTGTTCGAGGGTTTTTGCTGGAGATATTTTCGGTGATCACGCGGTGTCTTGTGCTGGTATTGTGGGTATTAAACATCGGCATAATGTTGTTCGGGATACCCTTGTTGATGTTTGCTATCGTTCTGGGATTTCAGCGAGAAAAGAGGTTGCCATTGGGTTGGCCGGAGGGAACGACGAGGCCCTCAGACCCGCGGATGTGTTACTTTATTCATGGGATCGTGGTCGCGATGTCTGTGTTGATTTGACAGGGTCTTCTCCTTTGACACGGTCAGGGCTATCTGACTTCATTCCTGGGCGGGCTGATGCAGCTCATCGGAAGCGGGTTAAGTATGAAGCTCGATGTCAGGTGATTGGTTATGGTTTCATTCCCTTCTCCTTTTCTTCGCTTGGGGAATTAGAGAAAGAGGTTGTTGCGTTACTGAAGTGGATTCAGAGGTTCTCGACGACGCAAGACATTAGGGCTCGTGCTACAGCTCATATCTTCACTAGGGTAGGATTTGCAATAGCTAGAGGAGTGGGGGCCCAGAATGTATCTCGGCTTCCCACTAATTTATTGTAGGTTGTATGACTTTTGTTTTTGAGATAATAATAATAATAATAATAATAATAATAATAATAATAATAATAATAATAATAATAGTATTAGGGTGAGCATTTCAAAAGATGCTCTGGCAGCAAATGGCAAACCGCAAATGCCTTGGGAATAATTTTACAAAAGCTTGTGATTACTCAACACCAAAATGTACATGTCTGCGATACAAAGGACATGTCTAAGTTTAGTTATTTACAATTACCTAGAGAAGTATTATCAATGATTGCCATCCATAAAAGTGTTCTTACAAGGGACGGCTAAGATTTTGCTACTAAATGATTTCCTCCGCACCTGGGTTGTCGACAAGTTAAGGCCAAAAACTTCCTTAGGCACCTGGGGTTCATTCAACCGAACCAGTTTAGCTACAATTTTGGCACTTTCCAAGATATGGTCCATATCTACGGTATTGGCCCAAAGGAGATGTGCAAGTTGTGAGCTCCGCCTTTTGCTATCCAAATTGATGCCCCATCTCACATACAGATCCATTCTCTCTTGGCTAGAGAACCTTCGCTTCATTAGCTTGGTCAACATTTTCCTCTCTTTGTGGAGAGACCGTCTACTGCTTCAAAACAACAGTGTTAACTTATCATTCCAAATTCTCCCTTTTAACCCCTTCCCCTAGGCCCTAACACACACACACAGAAAATGAGCCCACTTTTTCTAGAAATAGGCTAGCAGTGAGACTTCAAAGTGGTTTTAAGCTTTACAAGATCTCACAAATCATGTTTGGCCAAACAACATGCATTATTAATCAACAATTTCCTAATATAAGCAGGCCACACAAATGGAAAGAAAATTTGCTATGATTCCTGCGCAAATTTGGCGGTGAAGGCGTCTACACAATGCTCACTGTGCATGCAATAAACTTATAAACACTAAACCTAAACCAAATGAATCCTGCGCAAATTTGGTGGTGAAGGCGTCTACACAATGCTCACCATGCATGCAATAAACTTATAAACATCAAACCTAAACCAAAGAGCATGAAGACTAACTCCAATAAACATAATAGCTATAACTAAGATGATGTTATGTTCATTGGAGTTCATGTTCTTTTATTTTACTCTTCATGTGTTTTGGTTTTACCCTTGATGTTCATCGGATGTATAGTGTGTGCGTTTTGCATACGCCTTGACCATCCCTACTAATCCATATTGTTTTTAATTGATCACAACCATTGACATCAATCAATTAATCAATCAAAGTCTTAATCCCATAAGTAGGGTCAGCACAGCCATTGACATCAATCAATTAATCAATCAAAGTCTTAATCTCATAAGTAGGGTCAGCACAGCTTTTGAGATAATTCACATAAATAAGGTAGAATGGCATCATTTCCAAATTACCATTTAATGTCACCTACTTTCTCATCCTATAAGTAATGCTACTCTCACCGTTTTTAAATACTTGCTCCACTTTTCATTTTCAGTCTTTTTAAAATACTTGCTCCATTTCCTTATTTCGAAAACTTTTACAATATTTAATTTATTTCTCACCCAGTGAACACAACATAAATCATATTTTATTAATTTCTTATTCTCTCTTCTCCCATTCTCTCATATACTTTTGGTTTTTACAATTATTCTTCCACCAACCCCACTCCGCGCATAGGAAATGAAACAAGTATTTAAAAATGGACGGAGTATAATAGTGTATTAGTTTTAATACGGAGTATAGAAAGTAATGCAAGTTAAGAATTGGAACCTCAGACATGGATTCCTGAGCTCAAAGCACGGAATTTTGGATTGTCATACCTTGAACCAGGTGTCAGTTGGCGACCATCTAAGACAATAGAATTGCCCCAAGAAAATGCATTGTTTATGCACGAGAGCCTTCGACGTTCTACTTCCATGTAAATTGTGTCTGCCTGATCACCCTTTATAAAAAGAAGGAAAAAAGATGTTCTGTGTACTAATAAAATGTTGCAGGAATCCCAGAGATCAATTATCTCCCTCTGTAGTCTCTTAACATCTGCAGACCAAAGAGAACTATCACACAAATCATCTTTAGGATTCAAGCCAGAATCTTTCATGTTTTTTATAGAGTTATTTGCCTTCTGAAAAGTATCCTCCACCTGAAACAGATATAATCGGTTCAGAGAAAAATTGTGAAAATAGAAGGTACAGCTAGAAAGTAAACTGCAGATCAATTTCCACGATAGACACCACACACCAGTATACCACCAATATTTCAAACGATCACTAATGAAATACAGATTGAGCACAAGAGAGGAGGTAAAATCTGAAATATTACCTGCAATTTTTGAAGTTGAACTTGATCCATAGACTTGCCCCTGGTAACTTCTTTTTTGATTGAAACAGATGTATGGTTCTCAGTTTTATCCATGTGATTGGATACATTAACATCTGCAACTTGAGTTTCATCAAGACCCACATCTCCAATAGAAATCTGAGGTAATTTATAGTCATTATTATTATTCAGTGCAGAAAGCTTCCCGTTGCTATCATCGAGTGTGAAAACCTCTCCATCTCCACTCTCATATTTTATCTTATACTTGACATCGACTAGTGATGATGGAGATGAGATACTTACATCATTGGATAGAGAACTATTCTCTACACCATTCAAATTCTGAATTTTAGGCACACCATTCATTAGCTGTCTGCCAGGTTCTTCATAATCCTGACGAGAAGACGAATTCATGTTATCCAATTCACTGTGTTCTTTTGGCTCCTTGTCTGTGCAACTATCATTCACACAACCCAATAAAAATAATGATTTTCTTTCCTCTTCTGGAGCCCATATATTGCCAAGTACATTTTCAGATACTATGCAATGAACTTCCTTGCAGTGTTTTTCCAAATTATTATCAATTTGTTCCCCAACTGCCTCCGAAGCTTGTTGTGGATTAATGTCATCATAGTAGGAGGTTGTCTCTGCAATTCTCTCAGAGTCGTGGTACTGATAAATTTCATAGGAGTTGGGGGTTGTCTCTGCAGTTCCCTCAGAGAGGTGGTACTGATCAAATTCATAGGAGTTAAGGGTTTTCTCTGCAGTCTCCACAGACCCGTGGTACTGCTCAAAGTCACAGGAGTTGGGGGTTTTCTCCGCAATTCCCTCAGCAACATGGTACTGATCAAATTCATAGGAGTTGGGGGTTTTCTCTCCATTTTTTTCAGAAACTTGGTACGGATCAAATTCGACAAAGTTGGGGAATTGGGATTCATTTCCAACAGAAACATGCTGGAGACATAGTTCAAAAGTATTAGACGCTTCCTCTCCAATTTCCTCAGTCATGTGGTGCAGATCAATTTCAAAGGAGTTTGGTGCTCGGCCCCCTGTTTCCTCAGATACTCTGTTTTGATCAGCTTCTGGAAAGTCATTTGTTTGTTCTTCAAATCCTTTGGGAACTCGAGGATGGTCATTTCCACTGACAATAGTAGTCTGGATATGCATGGCCAGGGAGGCATCAAAAGGTTTCTCAATAAAAACCCCTTCAAACGAGCTGCTTGGGGAGTTGTTTTCATCAATATCAGAAACTGAATAGTTTTCATCATAACTAAGTCTACTCTGTCTATCTGGAGACTCAAGGGGGTTGAAAGTCAGAGAATGAGCACTTAAGGAGTTATGATCCACCATAGTAGTCGTAAAGGAAGAGGAGTGTTCTGAAGCTTGTCGAACATGCAGCTTAGGGTAAGAAGAATCTTCCTCCTGCATGAAAATAAAAAGACTAAGCAAACAAAGAAAAAAGTTTTTATCCTGTTTGATGATATCTTCGGAGTTTATAAACTGCAAATTCTCTTACAAATGGTCTTCGTTCTCTAATCCCCTGCTGCAAGTTTTGAATCTGTGATAGAGCAAGGTCCAGCTGCACAGTCAGCTCTTTCACTCTTCTCTCTAACTAAATTACAGAAAGAAAACAAAATCAGTTAATGAACATTGGACAATAGATCAGATGGGTTAATCCTAGGAGAATAATATAGGTCCCAAGTCACTGCTATGAGACACCAGAGGCTAGGATTTAGTGAGATACATCAACACATGTTGCACACATGGATGTAACTTAGCACAAGCACCATGTATAATTTGAAATGAAATTTACAGATACCTATGGCCAGTCCATTAAAAAGTTTTCCCCTAGCAATGCAAGTAAGATGCTCAAATATTCACCATATATTAGGATAAAATAAATAAGAAAGCCTAAAATTTACATCAGAGAGCTTAAAAGTTAAAACTAACTTGATCTAAACAGCAAACCATTATTCTGACTTGTGTGATACTGGGATAAAGACAGGCCTGTGGATTTGCATGGTGGGGATCATGGAGACTGGATAGAGGCAGTGATTAGGGGGAGTGGAGAGATGGAAGCTCCAGATGTGGGCGGTTGTGAGAGGAATAAGTAGTCAATAGGGTGGTTGTAGTAATATATATAAATGTTTTTTTTTTTTAATCTCTTATAAACGGAATAATTTATCAAAATTAATTGGCCATAAATGTCAGCAAGTCCTTGCCTATGTGGTCAAAAAATTTAATGTCAGATGGGAGTTTTCATGTTCAAGACTCACAAACTCCAACTCCTATGAAGAGTTAGAAAAAAGAGTTATCAACCAATTGTTTTTGACACATAGAAAGCCACAGAGGGTAAATGACGTAGATGAGAATCTGAGATTTAATTCTCATGTCTTGCATACCACCCTCTAAGACTTTAACCAACTAAGCTAGCTGGCATATATAGATGATAGCAATTGTTGTGTCAAGATATATAATATGCAAAAATGTTGTGGTACTATGTCATAGTCAAGTGCATGGCACCACATGGTGAATAATTGTGGAAGGTAACACTGGTACTCAAACATGCTTATAACGTGAGTGCATTGTTCACAGATTTCTGTTTGGCTCCTACCGCTAACACAGTTCATATCCAATGTCTTAAAACAGAACAAAATAATATTTTTGCTCTCTTGCGTGGCTGGATCATTAAAAAAAATACCTCATCTATTTTATAGTCTTTTTCTCTTAACTGGTCAGTAGCATCAGATCTGGTAGAGGGGCTTGCATTCCTTAACTCACCCTCAAGTCTCACCAGTTCTCTTTGCAAGTGCTTCATCAAGGCTTTGTCAGACATGACAACATTGACACGTGCATCAGTAGTAACTTCTTTTGCACAACTTGCAAAAAGGAGTGTGTTTCTTGATTGTTCAACATAACTACGTGCAGGACTCATGGTACATATGAGGGCAGTTCTAGCATTGCCTCCCAGAGAGGATTGCAGAATGCGGGTGAGCTTAGAGTCTCGGTAAGGAATATGACCAGTTTGTCCCTTGCTGTACATGAAGTATACGATGTATATCAGTAACACACTTGTAATCATATATTGACTGACTCTCGCCTTGTTCAAGTAAAGAAAAAATCATAAAGGACACTATAGTGGAAGTATTATGAGACCTACCATGCACCATAATAGCAACAAAGAGCAGAAAAAAAAAAAAAAAAAAAAAAACGTAGTAGTTAAACTAGTAGCAGAAGAAACGCAACAGGATAGAGAGAACAAAATGTGGAAATGCTCTAAGCCAAGAAATATGTGCAATCCGACCTTTAACAGTTAAGGCAAAGTGGAAAACAATAGATTCTACTCTTTTAATGTTGTCTGAAGGGAATCATCAGTGAAAAAACTTGTAAAATTGGGGTTTTCAATTGCCACTTGACAGAAAAATATGAGATGGGATGTTAAGAACTGTACACAAGAGCACAGGGTGAACATCACTAGTAAATAAACACAAGAGAAAAAAAACAATAAGAGCAGAAACAGCAATCTGCAAAGTAAACCAGAATAGCTCTAAGAAGTAGATAAAACCACCTCAGTTTGCGAATAACTGTTCCCAATGTTAACAAACTACGATTTATGTGTGATCCTTCCTTTAACCTTGATCCAGCAGATAACGCTTGTGATGCACGTTCACTTCCCGCAAGATCAACAAAATTCTGCAGACAGGTAAAAGAGCATCAAAAGAGAGGCATTATCTATTATCACTGCATAGAAGCTACCGCCCCTACCATGTGTTTAATTGGTTCAACATATCAAATCTTACCAAAGTAGCTGCAAGGGTGCTACAATTGTTCTTGCCTAAAAACTCACGATTAGAACTTTCAATTGTCTGCAAAAACCAAGAGTGATTGATCAAATGAGATTAGCTTGAAAATTTGTTCCTCTTTCATTCACCCTAATCAGTAAGTTTAGGAGCCAATAACATTTTGTCAGTCACTGAGTCATTTTCTAGTCCTTATTTTGATGAAAAACATACCAATCTGAGAATTTGGTGAGATCGCGAGCTTACTTCATTCAGAAAAGTTTCTCCTATCTGTCTTTGTGCTGCAAATATAAAAGAAGGTGCTTATATAGTCTCCAATATTCAATGAAAACACATGTTATTTTGGACATCAAATTTTTGTACCTTCACACATGGCAAGAAGTTCTTTGAAGTGGCTCCAGTCATGCAGAACCTCTTCCGTAAGTTTTTCAACCACCGTACCTCTCTGCAAGGGAAAATGCGACAAATTGCAAACCCGAATAATGAAGAGGGAGGTCTCATCCAGTCAATATACTATTTTATTTGAAGTAATAAATATATATATATATATATATATATATACATATATATATATATATATATATATATATATATATATATTATAGTCCGATAAAAAGAAATATCACCTCTGGGTCATCCAAAAGGCGAAGGGGACTGTTATCTGCTGTGAGGAGGTCCCTAACTGATTCATTGTAAATCTCCATAGCAGAGAACCTCAAGTGGAAGTCTCTTTCTTTGTGCTACAAGGATACAGGCATCTTTAAGTGGAGAGTTGAAATTGGGTAAAGGCAGCTTAAAAAGCAGTGGTGATTTCACCTTGTATATGTAGTTAAATATGTCCTCCATAGTATATTCTGTTATCCCAGACATGGTAAATGTTTTACCACTGCTTGTTTGACCATATGCAAAAACACTTGCTGCAAAAACAGGATTGGTAAACAACAAGCTTTACAAGAAGAGAAGCTGACAAATGCGTAAGATGATGAGCTCACAGTTGATGCCACTGAGAGCTGAAAGAACAACTGCTTTTGCTCCTTCCTCGTACACCTGCCTTGTGGAGGAATCAGACCTGAACACCCTATCTAAATCAAAAGCAATTGCCAGTATAAGGATGATGAGCAGAGCATCTGTAGACCGTATATCCACATAAAACGATTGATGAGCATAATGAAAACACTTATCAACTTCAATAGCCTAATATATGGAATTAATATACTAGTATAAAAAATAGAAGGCTGGCAGAAAGCAGGATTGATGAAATATGAATACCAAATGTAAAGGAATTTGGATAGAGTGATCGCTCAGGAGATAAGTTGTTGTTGTTGTAAACAATAGTGGTATGATCGATGCATTCCCAATCCAGTGGCTCGTTCCTACAAGTTTCCTTGTGATTCAAAGGACGCAAACGAACGGACACCAAGATCCTCTCCTCGGCGGGGTCGGGGCAGCTGGAGGCTTGTTCAGCATCAGCACTAGCCATCCTATCAGTCTGTAAACATGTAATCAACACTCTAAATTAACAATGTAGTACTAGTCCAAACTCAATTATCACCTCCCACAGTCCACAGATCGATCATAGTTGATTCCTTCCCCCCTTTTTAGTTTGTAATTCCCAAAGCATAACCCTATATATATATATATATATATAATACTTTTGTCTGTCTATAAACCATTAAAAAAATAAAAATGGCATATGGTCTGCTGTGTACTAGCGCAACACATGGGGCAGGGCCACGGCTACGGCCACCCTTCTTTTTTAGCTTTTACACCTTGATCATCTTGTCGTTTCACAAAGTTTTAAAGATAATTAATCTAAACATTTAACAAAGTCTGGGTTATAATATATAAGAATTGAAACAAGTAACGGCGCAACTTTGGAGTTTAGTTGATATCATATACTCTATAAAACAGTAATTATAGGGACTTGGGAGTATCAAGAATTGAAGACAATTAGGTACTGTAATTAGAAGACAAAAACAATACTACTAAGTAGAAGGTACTCCGTATTATTTAGAGCAGAATAAGTTACCTAACTCCACAATATTCTCTCTCCTCCTTGTCGGCATTAATTCATCATCGACTCCAATTCTGGGATCCAAGATCCAATGCTTGCACCGACACTTTTCAAGATACCAAAACCAAATGTGAAGAATGCAGAGAAATCAGAGAAGGTTGTAGCAAAGTGAAAGAAGAGAGAGAGAGAGAGAGAGATTTGCCCTGTTGCTTGAGTTGGTTGGGCGGGTAGAGTGTCACTCCATTCTCTCTCTCTGTCTCACTGTTGCTTCTTAGCTCCTCTGATTTTCATTCATCTTCTCTGTCTCACTTAATATTCACTCATTACGCCGTAGTTTACCGCGCGCTTCTAAATTACAGTATTACCCTGGTTTTAAAATAAATACTCTTTTAAGTATCGGCTTTTGAGGTCTTTGGGTAATTTCCTTACATTCCAAGTCAAAGATTGCCACTTGCCAATAATGCGGTGTTAGAATTTCAAATCTAAATTATTTCCCATCCACAACCCATCCATATAATTTTAGCATAAATGCCTTTAGATTTGGGACCACATTAATTTATTTTTCCCCTTTTATTATGTTTGTTTGACCAGCAAATACTACTAATTTTGATACAAGCACCCATGTGCTTGGTTACTAAACATTATGCATGACTACGGACTATGTATCCTTTTTTTTCTTTTTTTTTTTTTTTTGAAATTTTACAAATTATAACTATTTAAAGTTAGTAATTTGCAAATTGTAGTCATTTAAAAAATAATTGCAAATTGCAGTCTAAAAGTTCTTAAAATTAAATTGTAGATTGCAGCCCAATTTTACTTTTTCATCGGTTTACGTGTCGAAAAATATTCAGTTAAGATTTAAGCAGTCATTTTTAATTCTTAAGGGTCCGAATTGAGATCGAAATTAGCAAAAAAAAATAATGTAAATGTCACGGTGCAGTGGCTAGGTTTTACGGTGGTTTGATTGGGCAGTAGGATGGTTGGTGTTGTTGGGGTGGCTGGGGAATTAGAATGGAAATACCTAGAGAATAATGGAGAATCGACTTCAAAGAATTTGGGGGAATGAAAAGGGAAAAGGGAATGGAAAAATAACCTAACAAACAATAACAAAGAAAATGATAGTAGTTGATAGGGGTGAGCAAACCAGGTATCCGGTCAAAATTTTAGGACCCGGACTTGGAATTGGTTGGAACCGGATCCTAAAATTTGAACTTGAAATTGGAATTAGTTCAACTGGGTCCTAAAATTTAGGAATTGATATTGGAACCACCGGGTACCGGTCCCGGTACGGTTCCGGGTACCCACTTATGTATGTAATTGTTAAAATATAATACAAATTATAATTCTTATTTTAATTAGGTTCATTTTTAGCGTTTAATACTTATATTTATATATGCATAAGCTATTTGTATTTATGTTAGGTATTAATAATACTTTTTTAATTTACAAATTAGATACATTCTACATATTTTTATTATTTAAAATTTTTTTAGTTTAGCATATATTAGGTAAACGGATATCCAACCGGTTCCGGTTCCAAAAAATTGAGAATTGAAATTAGTATTAATTATAACCGAGTCCTTAATTTATTACCCGGAATTGGAACCACCGGGTCCAATTCCGATTCTAGACCCACCGATTCTTAACCGGTTTCGATTCCGGTTTCAATTCTGGGTACCCAAAATTTCTGCTCTACCCTAATAGTTGATTCCATTCTCTTTAATGAATACCCCAACCAAACAGCCCTAGTTTCAGAGGGGGGGGGGGAACGACAAAAACAAGCAAACGATAGAAAACCCTAAAGGAGGAAGATAGGACGACGAAATCGTGGGTTTGAAGATGGAATCGGGCGGAAGAAGATGGATGGCGGTGTTGTTGGTGGTGTTGGGTGAGTTATCTCTGTCATCGTCTTACCTAAACCCCCGTTTGCTGCACGCCGGAAAGAATTACTTGACCACACAAGAGCACTGGTTCAATCAGACCCTTGATCACTTCTCCCCTTATGTATGTATCACTTTAATTATAATTAAGACATAAATTATTGAATGTTTTAATTTAAACACGAAATTGATCATCTTACTAATTGCAGGACCATCGTGAATTCGAGCAGAGGTACTTTGAGTTTCTGGATTACTTCCGTGCCCCAGATGGGCCCATTTTCTTGAAAATTTGTGGTGAATCTTCTTGTAACGGAATTGCCAATGACTATCTAAGCGTGGGTTACTTAAGCTGTTTGTTTGGTATCATATGCCATTCCTAGTTTACTTGCTACACATTTTCATGGGATGTTGTTGCCAATGACTTCAGGTTCTTGCTAAGAAGTTCGGTGCTGCTATCGTTTCCCCTGAGCATCGCTACTATGGAAAAAGCTCTCCCTTTAAATTACATACTACTCAAAATCTTAAATTTCTTTCATCTAAGCAGGCACTTTTTGATTTGGCTGCTTTCCGCCAATTTTATCAGGTGAATTACTCTCTTCGGATTTAGCTATACTCCCTTGTCAATATAAGATCTTCTTACGACTTGGGTGCTTATGTCTCTATTTCTTTTTTCTTTAATATGTTTACCGATCAATCAAAACCTTAATCCCACAAGTGCCCTTGGCTACATGTTTTATTATATGAATGTATCTATATTCATTAATTTTTATTTTCTTTATCTCAAGGAATCCCTGAACCAAAAGTTTAATAGATCAAATGTTGAAAATCCCTGGTTTGTGTTCGGTATCTCCTACTCTGGAGCTCTTAGTGCTTGGTTCCGCCTAAAGTTTCCTCATTTGACTTGTGGAAGTCTTGCAAGTTCTGGTGTGGTTCTTGCTGTATACAACTTTACAGAGTTTGACCAGCAGGTGGGTGATCTTGGTTTGTGTTTCATCAATCTCTGTGTTCACCACTCTCGTTTAGTGGTGCTTGTTTTTCGTGAGGCTGCATAAAGTTATAATTTACTCCCATGTGTGTCTCTACTGCAGATAGGTGCCTCAGCTGGCCCAGAATGTAAATCTGCTTTGCAACAAGTTACACAGCTTGTTGAAGAAGGGTTGACCTCATACCCGAAGGCTCTAAAGTCAGCCTTTGGGGCTTCTGAGGTAAAATCTTGACAATGGATTTAATAAAGCATTTAGGAATTATGTTTTGACTATGTCACATATTTATCACCTGTATTTGGGCTTGTTATGATTGGTTTTATTTAAAGCTTCTCCTTAATCTTCGTGTAGCTAACAATTGATGGGGACTTCCTGTATTTTCTGGCTGATGCTGCGGTTACTGCTGTAAGTTCACTCTAACCTATTGAATATATTTCCCGTCATTCCTTGTTAGTGGCTCACTACTTTCATAATCCCACAGTTTCAGTATGGAAATCCTGACAAGTTGTGCTCTCCTCTTGTTGAAGCAAAGAAAGCGGGTCAAGATTTAGTGGTATGCCCCCCTCATTTCTTTCATCGATGTATATCTGGTGCTCCATCCTTAATATCATCTAAGCTGCTATATTATGTATATCTTTGAGTATCAGGGATGGACTCTGTTCATTTTTAGATGCTTCTTTCTGTTGCATTTCAGTATTATTTCTGTGATTCTGCTATATTAAGCTGGAGTCCTTTATGCAGGGTGCTTATGCCTCATATGTGAAAGACAACTTTGGCTTTAGTGTTGAAACTTATAATCAAGAGCACCTAAAGAACGTTGTTTTCTGGTAGTTCTGATAGATTGTGGTGGTTCCAAGTGTGCAGTGAAGTTGCATATTTCCAGGTAGCACCTGCAAACGATAGCATTCGATCATCTAAAGTCGACACAAGGTTTGCTTTCTTTTTTACCTCCCTCTCTTGCTCTTTCATGTAACTGCATGCTCCATTTTAAAAACTCTTCTTATTCATCTGCTATAAAGCACCAAAATAAAGAAATTATGGACAAAAATGATGTATTAAGGGAACCAGAAGATGATTAGTGAAGAACAAGATGGGTATGACTGAAATAATGCCAACTACAGCCTTGCCTATTTGCGAGAGAAATGGCACTCTCCCAAAGCTACAATTGATAACTTGTCTCAATATTTAACATAAATCCCCTCCTAATGACCTAATCTTCTATTTTATAGAAGTTCTTCCCTACCTACCTAGCTTATTTCCCAAGATACCCATAACTAAATAATAAAGATGCTACCTAAAGTGCTCCTCTCCTTAAATCAGTTCATTGTATCATCAAATTCATCATTTTTGAATGTTTGTATGTACAGATACCATTTGGACCTATGCAAGAATGTCTTTGGAGATGGAGTTTACCCTGAAGTTGATGAGACTAATTTGTACTATGGAGGCACAAAGATAGCTGGTTTGCACTTTCCATTTCCTTTGTCAATGATATAGTTATTACATAGGGCCTCCTCTCTGGATCTGACTTTTCACAGAAATGCTTGTCTGTTATGTAATTTGTAAAGGTTTGTGTTTTGTGCCTCTCATGTGCAAAGAGTTGTGCCTCTCATGTTAGAAGCTTTGGCCTACTTGAAAGAACTCTGGCCTGGATATTGGGAATCTGATTCATAGTAACAGGATAATAGAGAAAGTTTTTGCGTAAATTATATTATTTAAACAGTCTTGCTCTTTCATTGACAGGTACCAAGATAGTATTTACAAATGGCTCACAAGACCCCTGGCGACATGCATCCAAACAGATTTCATCTCCTGACAGTGAGTAGCCTTCACAATACTGCCTTTTTAGATAACTGTATTTGTATTTTTTTTTTCTTTTAAAAAAAAAATGAGCAACAAATTATCCATTCTCTAGAGATACCTGTAGTAAGAGACACTTCCAGCTCTAATATCCGAATTTTATGTTTCAATTTTCTTTTATATATCGAGTAAGCGACTCGCAACACCCTTAATTCAAACACTAAGCTAGTAAAAAACCATGATAAAGAAAGACAAAATTCAACATCTCTAGGGAACCAAAATATTCTAGAATCTTTATTAAACAACATTTGTTAAACGAAAAGAGCGGGATTTTTTTTGTCAAAAACTACCTTATAAAGCCCAAATTTTGTGAGAAACTACCTAATAAAAAATGTTGTAAGAAACTACCTAATAAAATGTAAATGTTGTAAAATACTACCTCTGCCGGAAATCTACCATTGACCTACCTCAAAACACCTCCAAAACCATCGCTTTCACCCTAAAACCAACACAACCTACTTGAAATTGCCTCCACCACGTGAAACCACCCTCCAAACCTCAGAATCACCACCTCTAACCCCAAAAGCCAACATCCCGAATCACAAAACTACGTGACCAACTGGAATATCCTCTAACCACCCCGAAAATATCCTTACTACTTTGAAAACCAACCCCCGTGGTGGTTTTTGGGGTGTTTTGAGATGAGTCAACGCCAT